ATTAATTCATTAACTTTATCAACATTATACGCTAAAAGAATGAAGGGATTTTGAGGACAGAAGACGAAAAGTAATTAGGGCAAAAACAGAATTAAAATTTTTGATATTAGCATTATATAAAAAGCACGCAAGCTACTAACTACAATATCAAAATTGCTTATTTCTTTGGGGTTTTATGCTCTGCCATGAATATGGCCAGGAAGATAGTGTTTCTCTTGGCCGTATTCCATCCTTCAAATTTTGCGTTTAACCAGTCTAGACGAACTACAAAAATGGCGTGAACTCCAAAAAAGAAATCTTTGGCTCCATCATGCATTGCGGCAAAATGGCGTCCGATGTAAACAAACAATGGATAGTAGTTCGCTTTCTTCAAATATACGACCGCTAAATGGCCGTATTTAGTACATTGTGACTTTATTTTAATTTTTGTTGAATGAATAATTAAACTTATTAAATTATACAGTGGATATTGACTCATTTATCGCTTTCCAACTCTTGCATTATAAAGTGTTTTTGGATATACGACATCAATTCAACACTGCCGGTGTCGCATAATATTTGGTCCGCCTCGTTTAAAGGTCCGGGGGGGACCTAATACGATAACATATAAGGTCCGGCCTGCCTCTATAATAAAAGGTCCGCCTTCGGTTTGATATGCAGATTTTTCTCCTTTATTGATTCGAAATAACTTGCTTAATTAATCTTTTTAAATTATTTAAGGTATACACTGTAAAAAATAAGTGTTTTAAAAAAAAACACCAAATTGCCACAGATAATAAACACTTTAACACGTTTAAAATTTAAACACTTCGTGAAGTGTTTAAGAAATAAACACGTTAGAATGTTTAAATTCTAAACACATGAGGTTTAATATTTAAATACTTCCTTCTCATTCTGTTTAAATACTAAACACTTCAAAAACACAAAACGTTTAAAGATTAAACACTGAATAAACACAAGGAGTTTACTAAATAAACACCCGTACGTGTTTAAAATTTAAACATTTCATGTTTTATTAATAAACACGTTCAACCTAAACACTTAAACATGTTTATTCGATGCAACAGATAATAATCACTTAAACATGTTTAAACGTCATTTTTTAAACACTTCAACGTGTTTAATTTACAAAATAAATAAACACTTAAACGTGTTTATAAGTTTTCAACATTTTTATTTGAAACAAACATAAAACAGTACAAAACACACTGTTCTTGATGATGAACATGTACATAAAGCTTAATTAATAAATGATTTAATGTTGAATAGAGATTCAAACCTTATAAACAATTATAACATTTATCAACACATTTGCTAACACACACATGTAGATACATAATTCAATTCAAGTTGAAAGATAGAATTATCCAAAAAAAAAAAAAAAAAAAAAAAAAAAAAAAAAAAATAGCATGAACATGTAAAACCTGCATGTGAACTAAAATTCAATAAAATTGGTGGCGGGGGGGGGGGGGGGGGGGGGGAGGGGGGGTTGACATAGGAAAATCGCTCAATTAAATGAAATATTATTTTTCAGGAATAAAATTTTGGGACAACCCTCGTATAAAGCTGTTTCTTTGTGATCAAAGCCTTGATTTAACTTTTGTTTCAGTATTATAAAAACGTCAAAATAATTCATTCTCTATGTAATCCATTTATTTAATCACACATTTTTCTGCTGATTTGCCTGGAAAAATAGAACTGACTTCGGGAAAACAGAAACATATAACTACTTAAGCAATAAATGTATATAGATACCGCTTTATAATTTCAATAGAAAACGACATGCTACTGTTATACCGATGTAGAAAAATACAGAAAAGTAGACGAACAGTGTGTTTATAAGACTTTGCCAGAATATCCCGATGATGGTAAGAATTAATTTTTTAATTAATATGTTGTCACCTTGATTTAAAATTTATGTTTTTCCTACAATAAAGATGCCTAAATTTTATTTCGAAGACACCCAAATTGTATTTATTTAATCAGAAAATGCACAATTTTCACCACGGAGCAGAGATATGAACAGGTTCATTTTTAGAAGACTGTTGTGACGTTAATTTTTTCAAAAGAGTGATTTTTTAAGTTTTCAAATTGATAGATAATGGTTTAAAAATGTTTTCATGATAATATATGTTCGTATTTGATAAAAAAATCGGTAAATAACGATGGTGAGAACTCACGCTTTCAATTCAGATGTCGAACACAATCAAAATACCGAAATAATAATATATGTGTAAAATGTGTAAAAGTTTTTAACAGATACAATATATATTGTTCCATTTTAAATATATTTCCCCTTTTTTAGGCATAATTAATTCTCAAACGTATAATTTTTTCACATAATTGATCTGACTTGAAACGTCAACTTTGAAAGTAAATATCTCTTTATTTGCAAATAGAATCTAAAATCTGACAAATACGGTCTCTTCCGAAGCCTCTTATTTAGCATTTCTGAGTACTGGTATAATTGCCATACTTTCCAAAACTTTGCACGGACAGTTTTTGTAGACCCATCATTTTTGCTGAAAAATCGCCATTTTTTGTGTGTCTGCGCATGCGCGAACTCTTTTTTCGGAGTCTTTTTCTGTCTCAATTTCTTACTTCCGGAAACGCTGTTTTTGGAGTTCGTCTAGACTGTATGTCCAAAGGTCTTTCTGTACATTCTTTCACACTGCAGTTTTATGTTCATATTTTTTACTACAGAGTGGGATGAATTTTGTACGAGGTTCTGCATGTCCATATTTACTACAGACAAGTCCAATATTATGTCTGAAAGTTCTTATGGGGTCAAGTCTATTTTTAGGTTTTTTAACCTTGCACTGTCATATCAAACATGAATAAACCAACTGCATGCTTGTGGGGTTAACCCCAGAATTACAAAAATAACCACAAAATGCTGGAAAATACGCAAGTTTTACCTCGCCGTGTAACTCTTGAAAGAACAGACATAGCTGTCTGTTTGTCCGCAAAAACTTTAACCTTGCCCATAACTTTTGATTGCTTAGAGCTATGGCATTCATATTTCACATTTGTATTCCTTGTGACAAGACCTCTCTTTGGGTGCCATCATATTTGACCTTGGAGTTTGACCCAGGTTTGCAAATACTTACCCAATTTTAACCTTTGCCATAACTTTTGAACAGTTGGTGCTAGGGATTTCATACTTTAAATGTGTAATTCTTGTGACAAGACCTTTCTTTGAAAACCAACTACTTTGACCCTTTGACCTACTTTTGAAAAACTTTAACCCTGGGCTTTCATATTTCACAAGTGTATTTTTAGCTGCAATAATGTAGCCCTCTCCGATTTTTTTAATCTGATATTTTCAGGAGAGGGCTACAATTCCATCTCCGTAATGGTGCAAATATATTTTTTAGATACGGGCGACTGCAGGCAAAATAAATTGTTTTTGCATTCAACTTACTTCCAATAAGACGTAATTTTTATTCAGTATCAACATCATAGCCCTTTATAAGCGAAAACCAAGTAAAATAAATCTGCGTGTTTACCAGTCGTTCTCTTCAGCAGCCATGACAGTTCTCGCGTGATGTACGGAGACTTGCGCTTGAAATTTAGAATCACTTGATAAAGTAAATGTCGGTGTTAATAAATGTTTGTGTTGTATAATATCACTAAACATCAATAAATAAAAGCATCCCATGTGATCTTTTTTTCATAAACAGTGATATTCATGCTTAAAATAAGGGAAATCCTAAACGATCCGCTCCCCTAGATCCCGAATTCTCATTGGTTGTCCCAAAATAAAATCGATCAAGGTCAGTAAACGTGGCGGATAAATTCAAGTTGTGATGTTGACATACACGAAAAATAACCGATATACGGATTGTTCTGTATATTTTTGGATCAATTCATGTCTTGCATAACTACATTTTATGAGTTCAGGTAGAATATGTTAATAAAATATCCACTTACTGATAATTTGAGCCGAAATCTGTGCGGTAGTGAATCACTCCCGCACTTGCACCATTACGGAGATCCTAAGGAGTTGTAGCCCTCTCCCAAAAAAAAAAAAAAAAAAAAAAAAAAAAAAAAAAAATCGGAGAGGGCTACATTATTGCAGCTAGTGTATTTCTTGTGAGAAGGCCTTTCCTTGGGCACCATTAATTTTGACCATTTGACCTTGATGTTTGAATTACTTTTGAAAAACTTTAACCTTTTCCATATGATATCTTTTCAATGGTTGCTGCTAGGGCTTAAATATTTCACAGATATATTTCTCAAGACAAGACCTTACTTTGGGTACCGACATATTTGATTTGCATTTGAGAAAATTTAGCCTTCGGTGTAAGTTGCCATACAGGGGCATCAGTCTTTCACAAACACATCTTGTTTTACCTTAACCTTAATTGACCTTCCCCAGACATAGACACATGGGCAGGAGAACTAACAGACTGACAAGGTGATAGGGATGGGTATCGGCAAAAATTTCGTATCGTGATATATCACGATTTTTTCCCAAAAATATCACGATAAATCGTGATATTTTTACACACAATTTTTACTACAATTTCAAATTAATTTCCTTAATATTTCTTAAAAATATGCTCTAAAAGCATAACATTACTTTTTAAAATCTTTATTTATTTAATGTAAACATGCTTGAATGCCGTTATTTAACTGTTTTCAACATTTTGTACACTTCCTGTAATTGTCATTCAATAGTTTGAACAAATAAATGAATAATTTCCGGAATTTATAGTTATGTACCAAATACCGGTACTTTAGTCTCCGTATCACGATACGTATCACGCAATAAAAAATCGCGATATACCGGTATACCGATAAAATCGCGCATCCCTACAAGGTGACTGCTAAATATGAAAGCTCTCTTGTATATCTTTATCTTTGCCAAATTATGAATTACAATGTCTTTAACCTCTTTGGTTCCAGATATTTAGACAAGACAAAAGCAATATGCCCCAAATCTTAGATCTCAAAACATAAAGAAAGAATCCTCATATTTTTTACTGTGTTTATCTTATCAGCTTACAAGTTTAATTCATACACTTCAATCATACTATGAGTCTCTAGCCATGAACTAACGAAAAATTTCTTCCCAATCTTATCAAAACACAGTGCATATGGTTTCTTGATAACATGCAAAGCTGGTAAAATTCTTCTGATCTGCTGACCATCTTTAGAAATCTGTACAACAGACCCTTCTTTACAGTCACAAACATAAATATTATTATAAATATCAACACCAATTCCTTTAGCACCTTTCCTTGCAATTCTGGTTTGAGTTTGTGAACAGTGAAAAACCTCTTCACCACTATTAATTTCATCACATATAACAGAGCCTGATTTTGAATAAATAATTGTTTTTGCATTGCAGGAGAGGGTGAAAAATCCAAATCCACAATTACTACCACTCAGAGTTTTTGAAATTGTTCCATCTTTCTGAATTACTCTTACACACCATGGGTTTCCTGTATGAGCGTAGATACAGTCATTCATTAACATCAGTTGATACATTTCCATTTTTTCAGTTTTAAAATCTTTTAAATATTTAAAACTTGGAGAGACTGAAAATTCAGAGATGTTTTCACCAATGGAAACAAATATTTTCTCATCTCTCCCAAAGCTGCATATCCCTCTGATGTCTTCCATTTTCTTGGAAAACAAAACTTTGACAGATCCCATTGGAGACACCTCCTTTACTGAGTGATTATGTTTGTCAACAATAATCAATGATCCATTCTCAAGGAACACCCCTCCTGTAATCCAGGGTGTGACTGTATCTTCCAGGCATTTGACGCAATATGATGCCACATGATTCACCGTAATCGATGCTGGATCTTTCATCGGTGATGTCTTTGGTTTTGGTAAACTTATTACATGTATACTCTTCAAAGAGTCCACTCCCTTTCTCAGTTCCGGAATGATGCTTCTTCTATCCTTTTTTACTTGAACATTAAAAACAGTATCAATGTTCTTTATGCTTTTCAGCACTGAATCTTCTTCCCATTCATATTCCACATGACCTTGATGTTTGTTCTGTTTTTCAATGTCTACTAAATCTTTAAGTAGTTGTGTCTTTATCCACTCAGCTGTGAGAAACATCTGTCTTTTAGAGCCACTGCTGGTAGCCCTTAGTGTCTTAGCTGATCTTGTAAGAGTTTCTAAAAAATTTTCAAGACACATCTGTGTATTTGACAATTTGGACTTTTCATTTTCATGTGTCACTTCAAAATCTTTCAGAAACTTGTTTTGAAGTCCATCTAACTTGCTCTTTACTTCTTCTACAAGACAAACTACATCTGTTTGAATCCTCTTATGCTGGTCTTTGAGATGATCTAAGTTTCTGTTCATTTTCTGAATTTCAGATTCTGTCTTTGCTTTCATTGTTGCGAAAATAGTATCAATATGTTCTGGATTTACTTTCTCTACAACTTCATCCACAGATTTAACATTCATGCAATTTTGGTGCACTGCATTAAAACAAACACAGCAACCCAGTTTTTCATGATCAAAACAGTAAAAATCCAAAGGTTTATTTTTATGAATACTACAGTGATCAACTTCTAATATGGAACTTGAGAATATCTTATGTGGAGATGCAGAGATATTTGTAATGGTATGATTTTTATAATGAGGAATGCGTCTGTGAAGGTATGAAAAGCAGGTTTCACAAAGACTATCATCACAATTACTGCAGTAAAATTTGGCATTTTTTCTCTCTTTGACACGTTTACATGGTTCACATAAAACACTCTCCTCTTGATCACAGGTAGATGTCAATTTGTCTTTGTTATCCAGCAGTGATATCAGTATGTGATTTAATGGAAGTTTATTTGCCCAATTCTCTGGCGTAATATCCGCCTCCGGAGCAACAACTTTTTGTCGACATACAGGACATTCAAAATTCAAGGTTTGTGCATCACTGTTTCTTGATGTTCCAACACATGTTTCAATATATGAGTGAATACACTGTTCACAAAATGTGTGTAGGCATGGAAGATATTTGGGAACTTTTAACCTCTCTAGACATATTGGGCAATCAAATACAGTTCCTTCATGCCTCAGATCTATATCACTTGCCGTAGCCATCGATCATTATTCTTCCTCATATCAATGTTCTACGATTAAGTCATATTCAATAGATATTCACTAATTTAGTCACAAGGCCACAAGGAGCACATGTTACTTTCACTTTCAACCGGAAGTCTTCCCACTCATTATAAAACCTTAACTTGGATCCGAAATCTTTAAAAATCCGAACTAATTATGCCTAGAAATAATAATTATTTTTTAATGAAAAAAGAAAACTAATTAATGCCCCATTCCCCCATTTCCGTATCGTAACTGTTGTAAGGTTATTAAATCATTAAGAAATAAATGTTCAGGGAATCCCTTGCATAACGTAAATGACGCGAGCATACCAAATGGTGGCCTTTTGCGTATGTTAGTCAGCTCTTTCATCCGGGCACTTTGTTGAGAGCGGTTTTCAAGGTAAGTTCAAAACTGAAAACATTGAGCGTACTCCAGAACTGAACTACACCCGATCTCTCATAATACCGACTGTTTTTGAATGTATTGTTGAAAAATTAATGTATCTATAAGCTCTAATTACAGGTGATTTTACATCTTACTGTGTGATTTTCAGTATAATGAGATGATTTATGTAGGACTCTTATGTGACATATTTTGGAGCCAAAATAAGAAATGGGTTTTGAATGTTTTCTTCCCTTTCAGTATTGTTTACTATGTAAAACAATTCAGAGATACTAAGCTATTGATGCGGTCGACATCAGTTATGTGTAATTAAAAGCTCTCATGAAAATGTGGTGTAGAAAGGGGGCTGTGAAGGGTACAGAATGTTAAACACATCTCAAAAAGTTGAATGAAAGAAATCTAAATTGAATAACTTGAATTACATCACTGGATACATATTTGTACTCTACAGTGGGGATGGGGTGATACTTTTTTATATTGATACATGTCATGGTATTTGAGCCATGGAATGATATGTAATGTATTTTGTATTTGTTTTAAAATCTTTTTGTATTGAATTGAACAAAACATTTCTTCATAAATAAGAATCATTTATTCACAGAAACTTTATTTCTGGTGTAAAACAAAAATTATTTCACACAAGTGGTGTTGATAATTATGTATTTCATACTAATATTTATATGTAGCATATTTTAATTTATCTTAAATATTAAACTCAAAATGTTAAGTAAACAAAGATAAAATAAGTTTGAATTTTTTTGCGATATTTTGATATTTCAACATACATATCAATATGTGTATCGTCTTCACACAAAATCAATATATCATTCAACAGTCAGGGGTGAGACTGAAATCCGTCATTTTAAAAATGACGGATTTCAGTCATAAAATAAAATTTTTATTATGACTTAAACTCATCATTTTTAAGAAAATGACAAAAAACAGTCATAAAAATTTAGAGTGTTTCTAGAATACCGAGTTACCTCTCTTTGAAAAATGTTAGATCCACCAACCGAAAAAAGGACAAAAAACATCGTAAACAAACTTCATTTCTCTAACACAGTTGACTACAATACTGGTTATGTTGACAATACAAATTTCCCAAGCAAAAATAAGAGTGGAAGAGTTATTTGTCAATTTATTTGCATTAAATAGGAAAGAAGACAAAAATGAAGACATTCCGTCTTTTTTCAAAATGGAGGGTCTGGGCGCACTGAAATATCTCGCTTGTTTTACGGGGCGCACTACTTTTTTATGGCTTTAACTTTTTGTCGAGACTTCTCTCTACAAGTACTTATTCTTCCAGACAGTGTACTATATGTTTTTATAGGACTAAAAGCCATGTAAAAATGGCGAATTAGTTCTACCAAAATTCGACATTTTACCGCTAAATAATAACTTTCACCTTCATGTTGATGTTCTAACGCACGTGGTCGGCAGTAATTAGTGACCCGGATGAAATGAAACTTGCGTAAACACTTCCTTCAGCAGTGAATTCAAATTTTGCTTTTATGTAACCAGGATAGAAGAATTAAGTTGAAAAAGAAAATATGACGATAGTAAGTCATATTGACAAAAATGACGAAAATACATAGTTAGTAAATATGACGATTATCCATCATTTTTCAGAAATGACGGATTTCAGTCTCACCCCTGACTGTTCAAGCCCTACTCTACAGAAAAGATAATGAAACAATATTGCATATCCTACAAAGGTCAAACAAAAAAGTCTCTTTAGACATGAAATAATCATTACTCAATATTATCATTCAACTTTTTGAGATGCCTTTAATATTCTGTGCCTTTCATAGCCTCCTTTCTACATTAAATTCCATCACTTTAGCACATTGTTTTATTATTCATTCTGATTTCAGAATGGAACCTAAACGGGTTTTGGCTGAAGTGACCAATAAAACCCTGGAGAATGCAAAGGAGCCAGTGAAAGAGTCTCCAAAAGAACAGGCAAAGCAGTAAGCTTTAAGTCAACAGTTAATGACATTTGAAATTTTGATGTCGAGTTTTCCAATAGGAAGAAAGAAAGTATAATTAACAGGCCCAAAATTTATTAAGATGAATATGAAGTTGAAGTTTCAGGGCTTGACATTAACACTTGTCCGACACCGGTAAAAAAAAATTACAGACTAGTGCATATTGCTGGGCACTTGTTCGATTGGATAAGTGCATTTTAATGTAAAGAAGTCTCAAAAAAAAAAAAAGAATAACTGTTGAAAGTTTATTGGTAAAGACAGAAGCAGTTCATAAAAACCGAACTTCAATCGTGATATGGATTGCTATTTAATTGAGTTTACACTCGATCAGGATTGAAGTTCACTAATTGCATGCTACTGCAAAGGCATGGAACTTATGAAGTGTTTCACTTCTGAACTTTTATGTTGTTGTCAGGACAGAAAGTCTAGATAAAAATTTACTTTATGTGTTTGTTGTATTTATCAATAACATTATTAACCAATCAAGCATATGTAATGGACTTTCAGTTTTCAAGTTGACAGTATTAGATCTTTATTGAAAAATTTTCAGACAAGTAGTTGTAAGTTTGGACAAGTAAATGTCTTATTCACTTGTCGAAATGGACATGTAGGAAAGAAGGTTAATGTAGAACCCTGAGGTTGGTCTGTGGATTTCAAAGTAGCAGATGATGGCATAATTAAAAAAAAATGTAGATTTTCATCCCCTCCCGCCCTGATTTTTTTAATTTCTGGTTTCACAGACATCTTGATTCTGATGAGAATGGAATATTCAACCTACCATTCAACTTTCATTTTAAATCCCGCAAATGTCAGCATGATTTTGACAGCTAACAAAATGGTGTTTGCTGTAATATGTATTAAACAAGGACTAATTGTTGAGGGTATATAGTTTGAAATAAGTACTTTAAAATAGAACTCAACAATGACTTTTAATTGGGTATGAAAGATAAATCTGCACCAACTGATGAGATCAACAAAAATATCTGTACAGTAAAACGAATAAAATATAAAATTTGCTTTTGAAAATGTTTCAAAAAGTTTGAATGAGAATCTAGGAATTTTTTCTATTACGGCCTAAGGACTGGTGGGCGGAAAAAATTTGGGGAGGGGGTGCAGGGGTAAGTAATATTTGTATATCAGTGAGTAACAGAAGAATATAACTTTGACTTGTGATGTGTCTTCTCATCACTAAAATTAAAACAAACTGCTACTGCCCATGTAAGAAATGCAGTTTCTCAATGATTTTTTCCCTCAAAGTATATACATGTATAATTAAGGCTACATTAAAGCGCAACAGATGCTGTGATATTTTTTTTTTTATGTTTGCAGAGAAAGATCAAAATGGTCACTTGATAGCTTTGATATTGGAAAACCACTTGGAAAAGGAAAGTTTGGCACGGTGTATCTTGCAAGAGAAAAGGCTACAAAATTTATCATTGCCCTAAAGGTATTGTTTTTTTCCCTTACTTTTTCCAATGTATCAAGGGGAAAAACATTTGGAACCGATGGAAGTGACATGATTGTACTGTTGTCTTGTAGGTTTTATTCAAGTCACAGTTGCAGAAAGCTGGTGTGGAACATCAACTTCGCAGAGAAATTGAAATTCAGTCTCATCTAAGGTAAATGTCACTCATTAAGTGTTTCATGATGAGACAATGGAAAGAACAATTATGTTGAAGAATTTTAAATAGGGAGTTTTGGAATGCATCTCTAACACATGCATGTAGAACAAGAGATGTGCTTAGGACACCAAATTAAAAATTTAAATCTGTATATAGTGTGCTCAGATCAATTGTCAGCATTTGACTATTTCATTGAATTTAATGGTCCATCATGTTTCTGTGGTGTGGAGCAAGGCCTAAAAGCCAAAGACGAATCATCTAGAAGTGCAAAAAAAAAAATCTAAATAATGTTGGCCAGTGCATTCACAAGAATGCATATTGGTTTTTATGAAAATGCTCACAATGAATAAATTGTAAATAAAATTGCTTCAATTACCGAAGTATATCCACAGTTAATTTAGCTATAAAACACTAATACTGGATATATTTTAACAAAAGAAAAAAAAGAAATGGGGGGGGGGGGGGGGGGCTGTAGTATATTGATAGTTGCTGATGATGAATTTCAAATGATATTAACAAACGTAGCTGAGATGCTTTCACTAAATAATGTTGTGTAAGCTAAATATACTAAACAAAGCAATGCTCATCAACTGAACTAAAAGAGTTGCATTAATTTTTTTAACCTGAAGATCAGATGTCCATGTTTGATAACTTTTGAAAGTGTCTGGATTTTCTTTGATCAAATTCTTAGACTTTTGTCACCCAAATGTCCAAACTATCAGTAGAAATGTCACTTTCTCACTCGGCTTCCAATGTCAAAATGTTTTATTTACAGACACCCCAATATATTACGTCTGTATGGTTACTTTCATGACAAGTCCAGAGTTTACTTGATCCTGGAGTATGCTCCAAAGGGAGAGTTGTACAAGGAATTACAGAAGCAAGGACGATTTGATGAAAAAAGGGCAGCTACTGTAAGTTAAGATAAATTTGTCCATGATGATAGATTGATGCACAGCTTATACAATTGTACCTAGTTTTTTTATTATATTCCCATGTTTATTTTGATGTATTATAATAATATAATAATACATATAATATATATACATATAATAAATAATCAAAATAAACATGGGAATATAAAAAAAATTAAGTACAATTGTATAAGCTGTGCATACCATATGGTGTGGTATTGTCTTTCTCTTATCAGTTATCTGGGCTTTTTAAGCTCTCCTGAGCAGGAGTTTTACATGTGAATTTAATAATCTTTGATATCTTTAACATATCACTTTACAACTTCCATCTTGTTTAGATTCAATCATTTATTTTGTTGTGGGAGGGGTTCAGCAATAATTGGTCAATGTTTTACATCTTGGAATATACATACTTAAGAAGTCTCAGATTTAAACTTGACATCAAATAAAATGTCAATTTAATCTATTGAAAACTTGAAAATGAGTAAAGGATAATGACTATAGGAGGTTTCATTCAGACATTCACTTATCAAATCCACAATAAGAGGTTTCATTCACATAATCAAGTAAAATGTGACTCACCTTGAGCAGATATAATGTAGTCCATTTGTCTTTTGTTTGTCATGCTTTGAAGTGAAAATTTGAATCAATGCATTTTTCTTTATGATAATGAGCTACAGAGTACAGAACAGGTTTCAAAGGATTTTGTTTAATGTTCAGACTAACTGTAGGTCCTTAAAACTGTCTATTTCTCATATAAATTATTTCCTCTTTTTTGTGTAGCACATGCTGCAGATGTTTAAAGCCATGTCATACTGTCATGAGAAAAAGGTCATCCACAGAGATATCAAACCAGAAAACTTGTTAATGGGACTAACAGGAGAACTCAAGATAGCTGACTTTGGCTGGTCTGTGCATGCCCCCTCATCAAGGTTAGTGCTTGCATTCTTATTTTTATGTTCAATTGTTTTGAAGTCCAATAATAGAATCCAGTGCGATTCTATATATTCACCTCAAAGCTAGTTTAAATGAAATTAAAGTATTGTTTTTTTTTTCTCTCTCATTTTTCCCCCACCAAATTTGATGTCATTTACTACAGAAGGTCAATTTTAACACAGTTTGACTTTTATATAAAGAATGTGTAGATTTGTGAGTTAATGAATTGGAATCAACTTTGGAAGCTATCTTATAATAAAAAAGTAGTATTAAAAAATCTGAATATAATTAATGGAATTTTATTAATTTCATTGATTATCATTTCCAGACGTACAACATTATGTGGTACCCTGGACTACCTTCCTCCTGAAATGATTGAGGGACAGCTCCATGATGAAAGGGTAGACCACTGGAGTTTAGGAATTCTCATGTACGAGTTCTTGGTGGGGAAGCCCCCCTTTGAAGCTGAAACAAACACAGAAACCTACAGAAGAATAACAAAAGTTGACCTTCATTTCCCTCCTTTTGTCTCACAAGGGGCCAGGGATTTAATATCAAAGGTAAGTTTTCAAGGGGATAAGACACAGTTTTGAAGGTTATATCCATCAAAAGTTTGGTAGAATTCTATGTCTTACTTGTTGCAAGTGCATTTCAGATCAATATATAGAAGCGTGTTTAGAAACTTTTTTTATCTCAAAATTGTAAAACTAAGAATTTCGGGCATGTTTGATTGCCATAAATCTTTGCACTTTCTTGAACTAAAAGTTATCCTTAATATTTAAGAAAGGTGAGAAATGTGTGGTGTTTTATAAGTTAGAATAGAGATGAATGGAAGAAAAATCTAACTTGGTAGTATTACCTGTTTGTCTTCAGTGAAGTTTGGGTTATGAAGAATACCATTGCAATTAATTATTAAGAATTTTCATGTAAGTTCAAATCATTAAATCAAAGTTATTTTTAAAATAAGTATAGAAAATTAAAACTGTAAACAAAATTACATGCAAGTATGTCCATGCCCCTTTACAGTTAAAAAAAAAATCTGATTTTATATACTGTATAAGCAGAATTTTTAGCGAGGTTTTAATTTGGGATTAGAATTAACTCTTCAAATTTAGTGGCCAAGCTTTCAAATTTCGCGAGGCCAGAATAATATTTACTAGCCCATATAAAAAAAGACTTTTGCTACATGATGTTGATGCACCGATGTGCCACTTAAATAGGAAATGTTACGCTGCGTAAATGTATAGGTACCTAAATGTACCATTTAAAATTCCATAATTGTATTACATAACGTCTTATTGAAAATAGTGTTGACATCTACTGATCCAAAAACTATGCATTCAATGAGAAACTTATGTTTATTAATGATATTACAACTGCAAACATAGAGAAAATTCTGGTTGCCAACTGGGCCAGTTTCCCTATAAAGTTTTCGTCGCCCGTACCAATATTTAGCCGCCTCAGTTTCATAGTATGTGTCATTTGATGTTTTTAGCGAGACACCTTTAGAAGTATTTGTTGCCTGTACCAGTATTTAGCCGCCTTGGGTGAGCGGGCGACCTTTAATTCTAATTCCTGATTATTAGCCAGTATTGAGATTATTGAAATTGAATATAATGATTCATTTGGCATTGGAGCATTATCTTTCTTGACATAATGAAATTGTTAAAATGACTTTTCATAAGAATACAAATCAATTTTTAAAATTAAATCATAAAATGTGTTTCTCGCTAAAAAAATCAAATGACACATGTATGTGCTTGGAAATTGAGTTCAGGGTCCCATGTGAGTCAAGTTTTGAGTGTGACAGTATAATTGTAATGCTATGGTTAATGTCATAAGATTAGATACATGTAAACAGATTTTTAACCAAGTATACAGAGTTAAAATTAACAGAATTTTTTGTTTATACATGTAGTTGCTCCGTCACAATCCAAAGCACAGAATTGACTTAAAAGATGCTATGGAACACCCCTGGATCAAGGAAAACAGTCACATTCTCCCCACGGGTAGATCAGAGAGCAAATCCTCAACCTCTTCTACATCCTGAGGGACGTAGCTTGATCTGGGGGTCTGCAATATTTCTGTGTGATCTTTCAATAACTGGTGGTTCGGTTGAAAACAGAACCAAAAACTTTGCACCTCAATATTCAGGATTTTTATAGGATTATGTCAGTGCTCACTGTTCATACTTCTGATTTTATGGCCAAAAAAAAAATGAGTGCTGTCTGGTCATTCAAATTCTTTGTACTTTGTTAAATTTTTTGTGATTAAATGAAATGAATGGTCATAAAATTTTAGCACCCTATGAATAGGTTATGGGTAAAAAGTTAGATTTTGTATCTTTATGTTAAGACATTTTTTCTTCATTAAAATTCAGTTAGTCGAGGGACCTTAAGTGAAATTTACCTGATGCCAAAAATGTTGTTGCATGATTGAAAATAATAATTTTTGGTGAATTTTTTCATGTCAAACAATAAGCAAACTGATTATAAACTGTAGTTTTTCAGTGTATTAAGAAAAGCATGTATATATAGATTTTACTAATAAGATAAGGACACATGGCAAGGTGGAAACTTTGATTTCAATTTCTGTTTAAAAGATAAGGTATCTTACTACCCATGGATTGGATTAATATAAGAATGATTTGAGAGATGTGTGAATGCATGTTTTTCTGTTAGTTTTGTGTGTACAGTACTTAGTGTATATACAGTTTCATATGTATTTACATGCAATTGTTGAGAGACGGCAATGTTGATAAGTACTTTTTTCCCTTAAATCTTAAGTTCTGGGTCAATATGCACTAAAAACATTAAGTATAAATTTATGATTTAGCCATTTTTCCCACATCAATTTTGGAGTATGAAATAAATATTTTATCAAGTCTTGGGTTACAGTTTAAACACCATATTATCCTCACAGGTGAAAAAAGAGATGTAATTTACAAACTCAGTATTTTTTTTTTTGCATGTATGTATTTTACATAAAATGAGAACATCGCAAATTCATTTTCTATCGATGAAACAAATGTACGAATGAGTATGGAATGATAAAAGTTTAGAGATTCATATAAGAAAATTTGATGTGAATCAATTCTTTGATGATACAAGGAACAGTTTGGTATGAATCCTAATATTAATTGAATGAGAATTTTTACACAAATGCTTCCTCTGTCAAGTTAAATAATGTTACAAAATTTAATGCTTCCTCTTTAAAGTTTCATCATGTTTTTGTTTCATTATGTAAGAAACTTTTCAATTTTGTAAAAATTGGTTTGTTATGTCCTTTCTGCATCTTGGAATATACTTGTTCATTCAAAAGATATATGAAGCAAGATGGTGTTCATTTGTTTTATCCAAGACAGTTGATGCATTTAAAATATGCTTAGCACAACTTGTTCCATTCCAACCTTACTACTGTTTATCAAGTCATTTCAGAAATACTGTATTAAACCTTCATTGCATTGTAATATTACAGAAGTATGCTAATGAAAATTGTGGTTGAAGCCATGATATGAAGAGTGATTCTAAATCATGACTGATTTTATCATCATCTATTAAATTATTTTGTATGCATTTTTGTTGTTATTAATGAATTTCCTAATATTTTCTAATTTTATACTTTCATGTAAATTAGTTGAATCTGATTCATTCAGAAACATTTGTTAAAAAACACTTTTTCCCACTGAATAATGAAGCCACGCCTTCCAGCATAGCAACAGTCAACATTGCTTGATGATGGGTGATATTGACTGTGCAGAATTTATGTGCTCAAGGTTCACTGTAATATGTATTCGTATAAAACATGAAGTATAATATAATAAGAATTGCATGTAGGGCTTGCGAGACTTTTTAAAGCTAAGTGGTTTTTTTTTATCCTCCCCCCTCTCCCCTCTTTTTGCATCGCCTTGGTTGACAGTGGTTTTCTTGGGGTGAAAAGTTTCAATGTTACACTCAACTACATGCAATATTTATATACTGGCATTTTGATCAGCTTCATGTTTATGCTGATATCTGTTTAAGTTTGCAAAAAAGAGCGAGGGGGGGGGGGGCAAAAAAAACTTTGCTGTCAAATGACTCGCAAGCCCTAGTGGCATAGAATTTCAGTCTTATGGACCAAACTACACAGAGAACATGAAGTGGCCAAGTTTGGGGAGTTACTTTTTGAGGATTAATCATTGTACCAGGGAACGGCACACCTTACCTGTAATTGACCGAGGTGAGCCGTATGCATGACATATTAATTCTAATCTCGAGTGGCGAGGCTTATTCCGTATATAGTTCATCATATGTTTAATACCTACATTATAAAGTGTGAAAAGAAATTTATTTTGCAGACTCATTTCACACTCAACATTCAATCATTGCAGATTGAGTATGATATATACGTAAATTGCATCATATTTTAGGTTTGATTTTTACTCAATCCCGCTGTTTCACGCGTGTTTTTATTAATGCGCACGACTTCGACAAGGAATGGTCGGTGTATTTAAGACGGAAGAGAAGGAAGATTAGATCATGCTTACAGTTACTTTCCTCTAAGGAATGCCGTTGAATTTTATGAGGATGGAATCTTGTTATTGGTCATGTTTCTTTAAGTTGTTACAAAGTTCCACAGAATCACACGACATGAAATACAGAATGTTTATAAAAATGAGTAAAAGTTAAAAATTCTAGCTAAAATTGATTTTAAATTACTTTATTTTCAAATAATTTTAAATTACTTTAATTTCAATTAATTTTAATCGATTTAATTTCTTTTGATTAATTTATCGTGATTAAAGAGATTATACCAGTTAACAAATTTTACTGTTCCCCATTGCGAAGAATGTAGTGATATATGTATAACGCCAAACCTATGTAGCTTCATGATATTTCTATGTCACATGATACGATTGTATCGATAAGGCCATGGTAAATAATATCTTTGTTTTATGTCCCTTTATTCTTTGAAAAGATACTCTCCAACCCGACAAACAAGGGCATATTAATTTAAAAAGAAATTCAATGATAAGCAAAATGTTGACTAATGAATGAGAAAGAAAGCTGTTACAAGTTGCGTTTTTTTTTAAGCACAGTGTACTTTAATCAAGTTTAAAAAAACTACAGTTTGAACAATAACATTAACTAGCTTGAATTTAACGAATTTAACGTATAAATCCGTTTGACGAAACATTAAAAAACATTGAAGGCCTTTTTGAAGGGAAAATTGTCATATTTTGTACCTAAGTTATACTTGTGTAACCTGGGTTATAACAGTTTACGCTTTTTTTTTTTTATAAAATTGGGTTATTACTATACATTAATGAGGAAAGTTGAAGATGGAAAAGCTGAAGTCATCCCCTTTGTCATACAATTTGGAGATTATTTCGCCCTTATTCTCTATAGTCAGTAAAACTATCAAATATGAAACAGATGTGACAAACTATGTGGCCTCTTTTATTTTGACTTCACTGGGATATATCTAGTCGATATATGAATGGAAGTAACCATTCTTAATTAATAATGCGTCGTCGATATACTAGTACTAGTATCTAAATATCGAGTTGAAGGCAACAGAAAGTGTTTTCTTCTTCTCATGAGAAGCTTTTGAATAAATTCTGCTTCATAGAAATATAAAAACAGGTTGGCTAATAAAAGAGCCAAATACATGTCCATCGGCATTCCAACAGATTGTTGGAAGACCTGGCCCCAGGATCACGAAACATCTTAAGCTTAAGTCTAAATCTGTATGCTGTGCTAAAATGTTGTAAAAGTTAAACAGGGCAAAATTAAAATATTTTACAATACTGTTTTACAAAAGTGTTGTTAACTGCAAATTTAGAGATAAATTCAATAATTAATAAACATTTTACAGACGATTGGAAATTTGACTTAAGTCTAAGTCTGTTTCATGATCCTGGGGCCTGGTCTCCAAAGACTACAAAGATGTTGTCAATGAGGAACTCCAGCATCCTTTTAATATCAACTTCAGAGTGCTATTATCATCTCTTTATGATATCCACAAGTCTAACTTATAATTCATCGTGAGGAATGGTTGTATAAAATTTAGAAAAGACATACTTTAATGTTACTGACTTTAAAGAAAAAAATGTGAATTTAAATTTTTGTAAAAGTTCTTTGAAGTTTTTGAGAATCCATATTTGATTTACACCACTTCTAGATTCGAAAACATAACTATATTTGTCCTTTGGAGCTTTTGCTTTGAAATTTTTTTTCATTCCCTTTTACTGAATTGCAATACCTGTGATATTTTGATAACAAATACTTCGTTTTATAGCAACCTTACCTGACAAAGTTTTTATACTGAAAGTGGTGAAAATGTGATCTGTAAAACTTCAAACGTTGTCTATGGATTTATATCGGGGAAACAAAGTACAAGGGTCGTTCAAAAAATAATGAAATAGGTCATCTAAAAGTAAGAAAAGTACGTAATTCATATTCTAAACACTTTCAATCCCTCAAAGGCTTCCCTGTTATCCTTTACACATGTCTTAAGTCTTTGTACCTATGACCAGAAAACCTCAGCATACTCATCTTTAGTGATGCCCCAAAGATCACTTCCCATGACATATCTAATATTGTACAATGTTCCTTTGATTGTATTCATGCGTTTTTTGGAATAAAATGATCTCACAATGGCTGAGGTCTAGCGAATATGGGGGATGGCAAAGCTCTGTAAACTTTCTTTTCTTCAGAATTTCATTTATTTCTCTATGCTTATTTGCAGCAACGTTGTCAGGTCAAGAAAATTACTCTGGGGGCGGTATTTGGACTTCCTTAGCAGGAAGTCTGTCTACCTTTCCTTAGTGCAATTAGAACATAAAAGTTACCATTGATGGCACTTCCTTTGGGTGTATGTACATGTTTTACTGGACCTCTTTAGAAAAATAAAAACTAATAAAACATGCTTGGAGCCCTTGTTTCTCTGACAATAATAAGAACGATAGCCTTTTCTTTAATTCCACATTTTATTATCGATCTTCCTTTTTGGCTATAAAAATTGCACCCATGTTTCGTCATCCATCACGCGAGTTTCACAAATATTCTATTTTCAATTTTAAGAAAATAAGGCCTATCTGATAGAAATATTATTTTATTCATTTCCGTTGTCGGAATTCTATGAAATGTTGTGATGATGAAATGCTTAGTGTCTTAGCAATGTTTTTCGATGTAAATCTGACATTTTCAGATATCATTTGCACATAGCATCGATAATTTTTGGTGTCCCTACAAATTTCAATCGACCAATTTATCTTTTTTTTTTTACTTTTGAATTTCCGAATCAATCTGAAAACAATACAGCGTAAAAGACTATTCTTTCCACATATAAAAAAAACATATCTCTAATATGAGTTCTTCGGCGATTTATATAAGGAAGCACATTTTTCACATACGCTCTCATTTTCATCTTCTTGGCAGAAATCATTTTAAACAGTTTTCAGCTCAGTGTAGTGACCATGCATACTTTAAAAGTGAATTTCTTCTTTGCGAGTTCAATAAGAAAAATCATGGGGTTTTCTGTGATTGGGAGCTCTTTAATTGAACGTTTCAACTGTGAAAAAATAAAATTAAACAGATCTACATTTACTATGATATATAATTTGTTGCATTATTTATTGAATGACCATCGTAAGGGTTCACTCAATAACAGAATGTCGAGGCAGAGGTTTGAAATAAATAATGAGGGCCATCAACATCTTTAAAAACATTTCAATCAGTTGATTACTATTCTTTCAATGAGGGTTAGAATTTTGAAAAAAAAAATATGATCCAGCGAATAGTTCCACTTGAAGTACTCCATTCAGTAGATAACAAGAAAATTGGAAGGGGGAACTAGGAACGGCATTCCCGTATGGTTGCAACGACCACATAAATAATGTAAGGAATCTTTCAAGACCACAATGTGCCAGTGTAAAGGTGATGGATCGACATTTTAACAATACACCTAGACGTAAGTGTAGTCATGGACATTGTTGTCCGTCAGTCTGACAAGTCTTTGAAACGAAGTGTTAAAATTGATTCAGCATGACAAACACGCTAGATCACATCAAGCACTCCCTCCCCATTTTCAACAAAACAGCACAACTTTTCTAAAGAAATTTCGTGTGGTTCTTACTGTTTGTATAGATTGTCTTGACAAGGGCTAGAAATTCCAAAGAGAAATCCTATGAAATAGACTGATAAAATTATCTTTCTAAAAAATTGTTTAAAAAACTCGAAGTTTGACGCTGAAATTTGACTTATTTCTTTATCACTTTCACACTAAACTTTACTCGGTTCCCTTGAAATTTTTTATTGTAATAATTGAAGAAGCTAAAGCAAATCCATACTTGGATTCTCCAACTGCAGAATACAAAGTGTTTGTGATTATGGATGTTGCCAAGCACACAGGTACTAAGCCCGTTGGTTCCTTAAATTTGCCAACAAAGGAATAGATGCCGTGAACATTAGTGTCATTCTTAATCGTATAAAAAGTTCAGTCTTGCATTCCACCATATATTTCAAGTTGAAGTTGAAGTCTACACCCTGTATTTCCTACAGATATTCCCAAACTATTGCTTCCAAAATTTTCAA